GTGTTAGGCACTACCAGGCTATTCAGCTCTATGGCTTTTTGCTCGTGAACAGACACACCACACCTTCTGTCAATCAAAACAAAAAGAACTCTTCAAAAGTCCTGGGCGATGGTGTTGGGCTTTAAAGATAAAGTAACGTTCAATAAAGGATTTTATAATAACTAGGCTAACAAATGGCTAACTCGTTTAATGCTGTTAAAATAAGTGTCAGTGGACGCAATTTAAAAGAAAGAAAGAAAGAAAATCCAAGCTGAAGCCTGGGAAACTATGAGGTAGCCACAACAACAAGCTCGAAGAAGTTCAGGCAGCTCTGGTGCTGTGGTCTTTTTCTGTGTGAAACAGCTCGTTTTTTGCTGGTTATGTTGAAGCATTTGTGTGATAACTACCCAGCCTGAGGTATTAGCTAACTTATCGAGGAGAAGCAAACAAGACAAACAGGAAAATCCAGTGAACCTGTTAAGCACTGAAGCAATTACCGTCGGCTACAGGTAGTATTAACTACCTTTAACTCTGGCACTCTTGCCTCCGTGATCACTGAACTAAGCGTGAAGAATGAAAAAAGCGTTACTCAGCGTTACCTTTAGCGGTAAACCTGACATGATGGCTGTCAGGTCTGTCGTGGACACCGTTTGTCCGTTTCTGGCCGCCAACACTCTTCTTCGGGTCAGAAAGTAGATGAAATGGCTCAGGTAGGACTGACACGACTATTCTAATTAATTTCACATCGGCATGTGAACTTCAGCGCCTGCTGGATATGCTCACAGATTGGCCTGCCACTTCTCCGTGCCGCACATCACAGAAACAAATCTGAGTAGAAGTTTGAATCGAGTTAAACGGAGACTCCTGGAGAACCTGACGTCACGGGACGGCGGCCGGATTGGTTGGCGGTCAGTAATGACAGTGACACTGCAAGAACCAATCACATTTAATTATTCAGTCGCCAGCTGAGGTAGGCTTAGGACGCGTTCACGTAGCCACCTTGCGAAATCTCTTGCAAAACCCAGTTTACAGGTAGGTATGTATACAGGTGTAATGGAAATAGCATAATTAACTCCACATTTGTTGAATTTTAGATTTCATTATACAAAACAATGAGACAGCGACTTCTCTGTAGATTCAAGCAAATTAACAAATGTATTTAAATTATTTTGTTTTATGCATTTAATTTATTTAACACCACTGTAATAGCTGAGCTTTATTCAGGTGGTTTTCTACCTACAGTGTATGAATGCTGCAGTTTGCTCAACCCTAAGGTGCCACACTTCAATTTACAAATAACTGAAAGAATGAAAAAAGAGCAATATAACTCATCTGCAGATAGTTTTAAAAGTATTTAATTTCTTTTAGAAATATTTAACTTATAAAACTATTTTTTTAATTTTCCCTTCTCTTTCTGCGCTCAGAATTATGTATGCTCTGTCCTCAGTGCTCCAATTTGCCACATAAACATACAGATTAATCAAATACACAGCCATACACACACAGCAACACACAGCCATACAAACACCAATATACAGCACAGAAACATACAACCATACAAGATAGATCGACAAACACACACCTTTAATAAACATGTACCACACCACCAGTTAGTTTAAACATCACCACACTGATGTTTGTCGCATGGGATGTACGTGGACTTAGTTCCACGGAAAAGTGGCTTAAAATTACTAACTAGTTAAATGACTTACAGGCAGACATTCCCTTTCTACATGAGATTCATACTGTATGAACAAAACATCTGTAAACACACTGTCAGGGTTCTCTGTGTGGCAGGCAAGGGTGGGACCCAAAAGCAGGACTCGCAGACCAAGCTAAACTTAAATGGCAGAGAAACAACTGGAAACAAAGAGGCGTAGCCATATTACGTAACAAAAAATACATAAAATTCACAAAGCTATTACAGATCCAAAAGGTATATTTATAATACTTTATTTATATATTGAAAATATGGATCTGTGTATCACTAGTATATATGGGCCAAATGTTGATTAACCCTTTCATAACTTGAACTGGCAGTCTACAAACATTCTCAAACAATACATGTGTACATGTGTGATTTTGGTCTTTGCAATGTTTGCCGTTCACATCACCCCACTCTCGGGGACTACACCTTTTCATCAGTACACCACTCACAATCTCACTTTTTAGTTAGAAGCTCCATTATGAGGGATAACGCAGACACTCAGATTCATCCTGTCACTATCAATGATCATGCTCTGGTGTCTATTTCTCACACAGAAAAGAATCATACCCCTAATCAGAAGCTGGATATTTAATACATCATTACCTAAAGAACAAGACTTAATTAATTGGTACATAGTTTCAACCTACAGAGGGGCACCAGACAGAGCTGCCAGCTTTCTCCTTCACTTTTTGTTAATT